ATAGGCATTGAGACAATGTGGGTCAAAGTTAATAAGGTTATCAAAACACATCAGACATATTTACTCCTAGTCAAGACTCATTTGCATAAAGGGTTCATATCATTTTGCAATTGCAGCTCAGGAAACACTTTATTGGCTGCAGTTCACGGTGTTACTTTATAAAAGTAAACAGGTGGGGGTACAACTTACTCCTATTTAGGTCACAAGTTTAGTATGCCACAGATAAGGACTGGCACAAAAATCAATACGACCATTCACAGCCGTACCGTCACGCCCTGAACAGCACACAGAGGCTCATTTATCCTACAGCGTAAGATGTTGTTTACTAGCAGACTTTCACAGGAACAACTTTTCACTTCTCTTATAAGTTTCGATCTGACCTTTCCAGACATTTCTGTAATCACATTTCCTGTAAATAGTATCTCCTGCCTTGAACTGGACTCATAATATTAGTTTTACTTGTGGCACTAAGCCATTTCTGTATCAATGATCCAGCGATAAACAACATGATATACTCACTGGATTCTCTTAAATGTAATCTGAAGTGCATTGATTTTCTGTCCAACTAAAAAAGCAAAAAATGTCAGGTTTCCTGAACACTCCCCCTGTCTGTCATTGGTCAGAGGGTGACCGTGAAGACAGTTAGCTTGACCAAGGAGAGAAAACCACCAGCAGATGCAGAATTTGGATAACATGAGACCCTGTAACAGAGGAGTTATTCTTTATTGCCAATTCCATTACTTTGTCCAGTTTTAAGAGAGCAGAAGCGTTCAAAGAATATGAAGTCCTATGAGAAATAATTTATTAGGCTAATATTAGGCCTGTCGCAATAATCAATATATCGACTTATCGCACAATATATGTACATGACCTCAATAATTTTTGGTGACGCAATATATCGCCCATTACATTTACTTAAAAATTAATGTCACCATGTTTTTTTTTTGCATTCCACTTGCGCCTGTGTCTTTTGCAGCTTCTCGTACATAACGCGGTGTAGTCCCGAGGTGCTAGTTCAAATGTAAAAAATGCATCTACAAACAAAGTTTAATCTGCAGATATGCCTTTGTGCATACGGACATCTGACTGCTAAGTAGGGATTGTGTTTTTTTAGCAATACAGTGCACACTTAATTTACAGAGAAAAGAAGGTCAGGGAAAAATCTGTAGATGGAAAAATCTCCATACAAATTCTTTGTGCATTTTTCTTTTTTCTACTTGTTACTTTGCACTTTTTGTTAGAAAATGTTTATTTAGTATTTATTCAGGTTTTTTAAGGGATCTAATATTTTGATACTTAATTTCCATCATCTAAATATTCTTAAAAAGTAAAAGTTTGTTGTCATTTGGAAGTGTGTAGGCCTTCTTGAATTATTATGCTGTTACATTATGATTATATATTCAGTGGCATAAAATGGTCTTTAAAATGACAATAATATCGCTTCTCGCAATTATTTCTGGGGCAATATATCGCACAACAAAAAGTTGTTAGCGTGACAGGCCTAGCTAATATTATTAAAACTATTATTAATAAAAATGAAAAGAGGTACCAGAATAATAGAGACTTAAGGGTGAACTCTTTTGACCCAGAACCAGAAGTTTCTTGAGCAGCAGATCAGCATGATTTCTGAAGGATCATGTGACACTGAAGACTGGAGTAATGGCTGCTGAAAATTCAGCTTTGCATCAGAGGAATGAATTACATCTTAAAATATATTCAAAACAGAATTTTTTTTTTTACTGTATTTTACTGTATTGAGACACTCAAAAACAATTAAAAAAAATGTACTCACCCCAAACTTTTGAACGGTAGTGTGTTTTTTTAACTAATTGATAAACTGTAGACCATTAAAAGCCCTGCAGTTTTGACTGTTAAATGCACTTGCAAAACTAAAGAGTATGTCATTCTGTTATTTAAGACTTGATTTAGAAATTATATTTAAGATTTTTTTATATTTAAGATATATTTAAAATATATTAAATAGTGATTATTAATCCCCAAAAAACAAGTAATAATAATAATAATAATAATAATAAAACCCAAATGATTAAGCCAAATGGATAAAAAAAAGTCAGTGTGAAACTGGAAAAATAATTACAAAATTATTTTTAAAAAAAAAATGTAATTAATGAAAAAAAGTTATTTTAAGTAGTTTTTTTTTTTTGCAGGTAAATCTAGGATTTTTTTACTTTTTTTTTGCAGGTAAATTAGAGAAAAGTAAACAGGTTCTTGAGAACATTTTATCACATTCATACACAGCTAATGTAATTAATGAAAAAAAGTTATTTTAAGTAGTTTTTTTTTTTGCAGGTAAATCTAGGATTTTTTTACTTTTTTTTTGCAGGTAAATTAGAGAAAAGTAAACAGGTTCTTGAGAACATTTTATCACATTCATACACAGCTGCCAGTTATAGCATCACTGTGTTAATATTCAAAAGCATATTTGTACAGTAACTGGCAGGGATCACGAACATCTTGTGCAGTATCTCGCAAGACTAAAAGCATTTCAAATGCCAGAGCTGCTGCTTCCTGTGGACTCTGGACATAAAGTTCAGTTCTAAGGTTAAGTTGCTTCAACACGGTGAAATCTATACAGTACAAGAATGATGACACAACAAGCATCACCAACTAAAGATTTAAATGAATAATAAATTTAAAGATTTAATGTGTGACATTACAGCGAGACGTATAATAGCAAACAGGGTTTTCTAGCCCCCCGGAGAACAACACTGTAAATTTACCTTGGAGTTGTAGAGGATGTGTATTGTTCAATATGTTGAGTTATATTCATGTGGGAGATGTTGTTTCGAGTCTGGGCTGTCATGGTCCTAACCTGTTCATGTTTTACTCCCCTCATCTTCACTCTGATAAAAAAAATAAAATAAATAAATTAAAAAATTGTTGAAATAGCGCAAATTTAAATAATAATCATGTTTACATAACACTTTACAAAAAACAAATATATGCAAATGCAACATGTAATAAAAAATTTACAAAAAATAAATAATAGTAAATAATAATAAACGAATATTAATGATAAATATTATTTTTATTAAAAACAATTATAATAATGTACAAAAATAATACATATAAAAATATAAAATGAATATATGCATGAGAGAAATTAGAAATTCATATATAAATAGTATATATTTACGGTAATAAAATATTACTAAACAATGTTCAGAAATGTTTGTTCTAAATCTACCTATCTATCAAAATGTTATGTATTTATGTATTTTTTGTAAATTTGATAAAATATTTATAAAACGTTTGTAATAAATATAAATAAATAAATTGCACCAAATAATAATGTTTACAAAGCACTTCGGAGAAAACATATGCAAATGCAACATTATATATATTCATTATAAAATACATACACTCAAAAACTACTACTTACATAGTAATTTATATAGTATTTATTATAAAACACTTTACAGAGAGACACTAAATTTTCTCTATATAGTTGTTGGGCTCTTTATTTTGGAATTAAAGTTAATCAAGGCTTCCCTCTAGTGGTCATTCTTTATTACAACATATTTGGTAGTGGTGAAAGAGAAATACAAATTACTTTGCTGCAATGTTAATCAACAAGAGCAGCATTTTACAATGGTTTGTAGCTTATAAAAACTTCAAAGGTAAAGTTTTACAGTTCATCGCTGTAATTATTCATCACATCAATTTCCAACAGATTTGATCAATATTGTCTAATAATGCATAGAATATTGTGTTTGCACATGATTTGTTGTTTTGTAAAGGCCTTATGTAATGTTTCAGTATCATATGTATGACTAATGTCAAGTCACATTTCATCTATTTACCTTTAATACCTTGTTAGACAGCAGATATAAAGGCCAAAACACACAGTAGGTGAGACAGTCAGCATTGTGCAGGGTTTGTGTGTGTGTGTGTTTGTGTGTGTACAGTGTTCACAGGGCAGACGGGTGGAATGCTAATACTTGAGTGGAAACCCCATGTGCCCGTACAAGGAGAGCTGCGAGAGCTCAGGATCTGCGGGAGCGCTACCAAAAACAGCCTCAATAATGTAAACAGAGACAGAGGCTGTCTTTCAGTTCAGCAAAGCCTGACTGTTATGATGAAGAATGCTTATTTAATGTGCAACGAGCAGATGGCATCAGATACGTCTTGGAGACAATGTCCATCTGTCCTTATCATGCATTCAAGCAATACATTTGAGGAAGTCTGAACCAGTCTTAAGAGACCTGTTGTTGTTCGGCCAACCCTCTTTTTCTCTCTCTCCATCTCCATCACTCTATTTTTCTTGATCACTTTCTCTCTGCTTTCTGTGCCTGCTCTCCTGTTGTCCTTTATCTCTTTCAAAAGTCACTTTTCCTCTGTAAAGCATGTGGGCGTTCAAGGTCATCAGTGTAAAATGAATGTGATTTTCGATTAAAGAGAGAGCAGAGAGGCTGTTGGGAGTTTGGTGACGTGAACAGAAACGGTTGCCTTCCAGATTTTCACAGCAGCAATCAGCAGGTAATTGAGCTTTTGCTTAGATCTCTTTTCTAAAGGGTGTTTTGGGGAGAATATCACTGATTATTGATCTCATTTCAATGATGAATATTCCTTCATGTGTAGATATGTCAAGCACAACCATGCCTGTATAATTGCACTAGTTATCTGCATGTCAAAAGAGAGGCGTTTTTGGTAAAAATATGAAGTTGTGCTAATAGTGCCTTTTTATTTCAAAGAAAATCAAACATCAGGGAGAGTGTTTGAAACTGTTTTCCCATCAAAAGAAAATCTGTCAAAACTCATTGCTAGTCACTGAAATCTCCAAAAGGAATCAGAATTTGGCATATGCATGTATTGAAAAGCATTTTCTTGAGTGCCTGTTGCTGTAGAGGGCAAGCAAAATATGTTGCTTCGGGCTTCAAATGAATGTGCTGATGATTTGGGTACTTATTTGCATGCTCATATTAGTGTTGTGTGTGTTTGTGTATGTAGTACGCAGATCACACTTACCCTGCGTTACGATGCCTCTATTGAGAGATCTTCGGAAGAAAGATGACATAAATGCTGTTTATGAGCTGAAAGAAAAACTTGGAGAGTGAGTTTTCATATATTCAATATTTAAAAGTATTCTGAACACGTAATGACTTCAGAGTAGATTTTGACATTTTGATTTACTAAACACATTTAAAGACTTGTCGACTAGAAGCAGAAAATATTATTAAGACGACTCTGGAGACTTGGAGTTATTATTCACAACGTGCCCATGGCACACAAACTTATAATTAGCCATTAATTTAGAACAAAACTCATTACAGCTGAATTATAAATAATATAAATGTATAATGTCTCAGGGGCTCGTTCTCTGAGGTTCGAGTGGCTCAGCACAGATGCACTCAGAAGCTTGTGGCTGTCAAGTGCATCCGCAAGAGAGCGCTAAAGGGAAAAGAACCCATGCTGGAGAATGAGACTGCAGTATTACGCAGGTCAGTGATTTAATAAAAAAAACAGATTGATTAAATTGCATGACTTTTTGGTTACATTTTCTTGGTTATTAAAGTACAGTGAAATTTTACAGAAATCTTTTGTTTTTGTTTGTTCCTGTGATTTCTTCTCAGAATAAATCATGAAAATATTGTGTCTTTGGAGGAAACCTTTGAGACTCCTTCTAAACTGTATTTGGTAATGACACTGTGAGTGGACCTGAGTGTGAAAAATGAAAATATTGTAGTAAAAAATAGTTTCGTTTCATAGGATTAGACAGAATGATAGAGCGATACACAGAACAAATGATAGATAGAAAGAAAGCTAGATAAATAAACAGAGGGAGGGAGGGAGAGAGAGAGAGAGAGCGAGCGGCAGGCAGGCAGATAGATAGATAGACAGAACGATAGATAGAACGATAGATAGAACGATAGATAGAACGATAGATAGAACGATAGATAGAACGATAGATAGAACGATAGATAGAACGATAGATAGAACGATAGATAGAACGATAGATAGAACGATAGATAGAACGATAGATAGAACGATAGATAGAACGATAGATAGAACGATAGATAGATCGATAGATAGATAGATAGATAGATAGATAGATAGACAGAACGATAGAGAAACGACAGAACGACAGATAGATAGATAGATAGATAGATAAATAGATAGAATGACAGAACGGTAGATAGATAGATAGTCAGAACGACAGAACGATAGATAGAACGATAGATAGATAGATAGATAGATAGAATGACAGAACGGTAGATAGATAGATTGACAGAACGACAGAATGGGTAGATAGATAGATAGATAGACAGATAGATAGACAGAACAACAGAACGACAAATAGATAGATAGATAGATAGATAGATAGAACGACAGAACGGTAGATCGATAGATAGACAGAACGACAGAACGATAGATAGAACGATAGATAGATAGATAGATAGAACGATAGAACGATAGATAGATAGATAGATAGAACGATAGAACGATAGATAGATAGATAGATAGAACGATAGAACGATAGATAGATAGATAGATAGAACGATAGAACGATAGATAGATAGATAGATAGAACGATAGAACGATAGATAGATAGATAGATAGAACGATAGAACGATAGATAGATAGATAGATAGAACGATAGAACGATAGATAGATAGATAGATAGAACGATAGAACGATAGATAGATAGATAGATAGAACGATAGAACGATAGATAGATAGATAGATAGAACGATAGAACGATAGATAGATAGATAGATAGAACGATAGAACGATAGATAGATAGATAGATAGATACACAGAACGGTAGATAGATAGATAGACAGAACGACAGAACGATAGATAGAATGATAGATAGATAGATAGATAGATAGAACGACAGAACGGTAGACAGACAGACAGACAGACAGACAGATAGATAGATAGATAGATAGATAGATAGATAGACAGAACGACAGAACGATAGATAGATAGATAGATAGATAGATAGATAGATAGA